TGTGTATGTATATAGACTAAATGGTCGAAAAGTCTTCTATTATTTTGCAATTTTCACAATAGTTAACAAAAATTAATTATTAAAAGTCGCTGAATATTGGTTTACAATAATTTTTTACTCAAATACTATCAACTTTACTGAAAAACAGCAAGAGTAAAAAATTGTTTATTTTCTTCCCATAAAGTTCTGAGCATTTTTTCAGAATTTTTTAATAGCGTATTTTCTTATGTTAGTAAAAATGTTGTTAATATATAAGAAAATGCAGTACTAAAATATTGATAAATAATTCTAAAAAAATTCTTAGAGCTCTATGGGAAGGAAATAATTTCTTGTTGTTTTTCTGTAAAGTTGATAGTATTTGACTAAAAAATTATTGAAGATCAATATTTAGCAATTATCCGACAACATTATTAAACACCCGAATTCTTGCTAACAAGTTCCCACGACAGAAGCACTAGAAAAAAGTCAAGCGTATAACGCTCCCGTTGAAATTGCGGCTAATTTGAGAGTTCACTAGTTTATAATTTAATAATTATTAATAAATAATAATAAATATATTAATAATAATTAATAATTAGTTAATAATTTCTAGCGATGAATAACACTTGAAACTGTAATAAAAGTGAGTTTTTTCTACCGGTAGACCAGACGAAAACCACATCAAGAATTACGAAGATCACAACCAAACCGAAATGAAAATTCATCACTAAAGATAAGTGCGTGAGAGACACATGAAGATCGAGTATTCGACGTCACGTCATTTGGCGACGGAAATAAGCTGCTGTGATGATTAACGATGATGGAATCTGCATCTCTCTCTCATATTTTATCTCTCTCCTTATTTTACAAAGAATGAAATAAGATGATTGGTAAAAAAAAAATATAAAAAACGATAAGAGAACGCATAGAAGATGAAAGTGGGGAGTGATCTTAACAATCTGGGGTTATTGAAGATATCGACTTTTTTCAATCTAGTAAGTTTAGCTGGATTTGATCAAACAAATAACAATCGTTAATTACACAGAAATTGTAAGAGTTAAATCATAACATTTCAACAGAGTTTTTTGTACATCTGTTAAATTGTGATAATAGTATGCAATTTAGAATGTGTTGAGCATAACTTCGTAAGTGAAGTATAATTAACAACGCGATAGCAAGGATAAGTATGCATTATTTGTCTTTGATCGATGTTTGATTAGTCAATTAGGAATTTGCGATTCTGACGCCAAAGCGGATAAACCAGTCGGTGTATTCTACAAAAATTAAGGAGATAAAATGTCGGTAAAACAGGATAAAGACAAATCAATCAGTATTATTCATCAATATACAGAAGTACAAGAAACGTGACACAAAAAATTTTACGCAGTAAAACATAAACAGTATAAATAAAATCAACATTTTGGATTTGCTATTGCTTAATTGCATTATCATAATATGCATCGTTTTATATTATACTGATGTTTTCTACTGATGATTAGCCGATTGACTTACTGTTTACTTCTGCCTTATATTTTTTTATTCGCCTCTTAAGTCTATAATATATAGAATAAAAATATATATATAGAATAAAAATGAAAACGTACGTATATATTGCCGCGAAGAAGTAGAAGGAATAAAATAAGGAAAAATTATTTAATAATAAATAAATTGGAGACAATAACTAACATTTATACTAAATTAAACTATTTAATAATAAATTATTATACAGGATGTCATTAAATTACGGCATTACCCATTCTGAGCAAGAATTTTGCGAGAATAGAAGACTTTTCGGCTCAGTTTAGTCCGCTCTACCTGCTCAGGATGGGTGATGCCGTAATTTAATGACACTCTATGTAGAATATACAAACACACAAAATTTAATAGAATAATAGGATTTATCATCAAATGACTTTGTAATAAATAGAAGATTAATATTTTCCTCATTATACGAACACTTAAAAAAATTTGGAATTAATTAAAGCTACATATAAATAAATTTCATGATTTATTTAAACATATTCTCGATGTAATAATTATATATTACAGGAAAAACACGAATAATAACTGTAAATAATAAATACAATATATAAATAACAAGTATACATATTATTGCTTTTAATGTTCACGCTATTTCGTTATACTATTAATTTCGTTACATTATTAATTGTACATTTTTCTGAATTTTACATCAATTTACAAGCAATATATTAGGTGTAGTAAAAAGTCATCGCGTATTTTTTAGCTCAAAGTTGTATATACAATATCTTCGTCAATAATGAATGAAATTCAAATTTAAAAAAAGAGTTTTAAAGCTTGAAATCTCTACTTTTAAAAGCTTATCACATTTTTTAAGTTTATATGAGTTTGATAATTTTTACATACCAAAAACTACGAGCTGAAAAAGACGAAAAATTTTCTTCTCACTTTGTGGATTTGTAACGTGTCCAAAACGAATTTGAGAAAATTTTCGATTACATATCGTGAAAGCTTGATACTTTCCCTACAAAATCGTTTTTTTTTAATATTCCTACGACTTTTGATTACTGAGTTATCGCGGATTAAATAAAAGAATTATTTTGACTTTAATTGCTCATAACTCCATTAAAAATTGTCGTATCGTATAATTTAAAAAAGAGATTTTTAAAGCTGAAACTTTACTCTATTAAGATATATTTATATTGTTGGTAAGAAAGTAATTGCGGTTTTTACTGATAGATGTCTTTTAAAAATACGTGATGACTTTTTACTACACCTAATATGTTAAAATTTAGATTATTATAATGTACAATGTATTTTTATAAATGTTTACAAGTAGTGTAGTTGCCCATGCCTTAAATATATCGTCTATGGCGAATATTGCAAATATACATACATATTTCTAGTTTTCCATAATCCATTCATTATGAAAGTGATATAGTCGAAGATGTAGTTAGAGATGAGAGTCTAACTACATTTGTCTAAAAAAAAGCATGCAATCAGACATAAATATGATTACGAAATTATTTGAGCAAAATTTGAGTCGATATGTTTAAAAATAACAATAAATAAGCAGTAAATCTTTTATTTTTATTAAATTTCATACAAAATAAAATATTATATATGACTCAACTACTGAGTTAAATAATATATATTAAGCTGGAAATAATAATTAATAATATAATACAATGCAAAACGAAATCGTGCAACAACAGCAAAAATAAACGGAATGAATTATTAATCTATAATATAATGTATTATACAATGCATTACACAATTGCATGCTATATGCTATATAATAACACATATGCTATATAATAAATTAAATTTTACTTATAAAAAATGTTTATTTTTCTCAAAAATAGTGTATTTTGGTATCGCTGATTCCAATTCTGAGCATAGATTTATAAAATTTCGAGCCCTAAGCGCAATATTGACAACATAAATAAATATAAACATATAATAGACTCAAAACTTTCCTTTAGCATTACCCAAAGTTAACGACGTGGACGTAGAAGGTTTGTAGCTCCTTTTTAATTTTCTTTTTATTTGAATTTTTTATTCTTTTTACTCTTTTCTTGTTTTATAATTTTTTATATTTATATATTTTTTTATTTCGATTTTTTCGGGAATTATGACACAATTTTTTTTGAATGTGATAATTTCCAAAACAATTTTTGCTACTAAAAATAGTGGTAAATTTTAACCTAAACGAGCCACAAAAGTGGTTTTCCCGGCAGTCTAAAAGTTAAACTGGAAAAAATTTTAAATTTACGATTGAAAAATATAAGTTTTATTAACATTATTTTAACTTTTAAAATCGATTAGCCTATTCGCTTCGCGGAAACCAGTTTCTACGCCGCCGTGTACACTAGAATAATAATGATCATACGTAGCTTCTCCCGCGAAAAAAATTACCTAATCATTAAGATTCATTTTATCAATGTCATAGAATTTTACAACACAATTCAGTAGTAAACATAAATTAAAAATAAGCAATAAACTACAACTAAAAATAAAAAAATTTATATATTATAACATTTTCGAATTAGATGAAGACCTAATGTTAGATAAAGACTTAATTAGATAAAGACCTAAAAACAATGAAAAAACTAATAATGATATTTCAAACTAATTTGCGTAATAATTAAAAATGATATTTACTTTTATTATGCTTATAATATTTTTATATTAGGATTACGTGCAAGTTTATTTCCAATTATAATTGGTTCTGCCAGATCTCTCGATGTTACATTCATTTGCTCGGAAAGCATGCTTTGAAAACTGTATGAGCCTCGAAAATGTTTATTAGTATACCATTTAGATCTAAAAGTATAAAAAAAAATAGTTAAACAGATTTAATTACTTTTCTCTCATCCAGTAGCAAACTTAACATTCTTGTTGGTTTTGTAACATTATGATGATATTTAAATGTCTTTTTTAACACACACACAATAAATATAATCTATTAAATATATCAGTATCCGATCAAGTTTTCATGTGACGCATTTTTTCTAGTTAACCAAGCACATAAGAGATTCGGCTGATGAGCAATAATACAGTAATAAACGTGAACACATCGCTGAGCCACTCACTATTTTAAAACAAATATATTTGACAAAAATAATAGAAGGACAGTAAAACAAAAAATCGTCGAAATTTATTTTTAATAATAAATTATTGTTCAGTATAATTTCTTTAGTTTAAATAGAATTCCGAATGTTTATTTACTTGGCCATAGGTTTGCAAGAATTCCTTCTTATTTTTTTCCGGTCAAATAAAATCAAAGTTGGTTTTGTCTTCCGACCATCATCTGTGTGTAAATTCGAGAAAAATTTTGTTCACTGTTCTAATATATTTAATCCCTAATGACAAAATAATGACGTTAAAAGTAATATCAAACATGTAATGTTGATACCGCTTCCTTTTACAATATTATACTGTTAATAAAAATGTCTATCGCGCGTTGTTTCTTCTATGACAAAGGTGGCACGAATATCGAAGAATTTTTCTCTTTCAGAATACCTAGAGACCCAGTGAATATAACATGCGACGCAGAATACTCGCAATCATCTCTAGTAATCACCTTCGCATTCTCGCCTGAGCTGTAATTACAAGTTGTCATAACTTTTCCAAGCTCTATCTTTTTCATTACTGACAAACGTTCCATTGTATTTGAAATCTTTTACTGATAAAATGATTATATTATTGATTAGAAAGATGAGTACATACATTTGAAAAAATAATATGTAAAGTATTAATTATATTACTTTAGTCAAATGGATTAAAATATTTTAAAAATGAATTAAAAATTTATTATATACTTAATTAATTTAATTTTCAAGTAACGATCACTATTTTTTTTAATAGAATATGTTTTATATTTTGTTAAAATGATTATGTAAAACGAAATGTTATTGAAGACATCACATCGCGTTTCTGGTTCGATATTATCAAGTAATTTAAACAATCTTGTATCAATAGTATATCAAAAATCGTTTTATAATCACGCCCTTTCCAATTCAATGTAAAATCGCCTTCATATTCCCAATATTCTGTCAAACATTTTGCAGAAACATCAAACCATGTATCGCTATAATCTACAGAGTTTCATACATATATAATCGAGGACAGATAATTGGTGGGCAATTTTGCTGCTATCGAACGTAGCAATAAATTTTCTTTTTTTATTGTTCCTGTAAAAGATCGTACTGCGTTAACGAGAATAATTCAGGAACGTATTGCACCAGGCAGTATAATTTACAGTAATTCGTGAAAAGGATACGTACCATTAAAAGAACTTGATTAGGTGTAGTATTTAATTTAATAGAGTATTTAATCAGATTATTAAATATTCTATTAATTTTGTTGATCTTGAATCTGGTATATATACATAAAATATTGAGCGGTTATGGTATGATATGCGTTCTGTTTTACCATGATTTGATGTATGAGAACACTACAAACATTATTTAACAAAATTTAATTTGTTTAAAAACGATATGATTTTAAAGACAGAATACGGCAATTTTTTAAATTAATGGCTTCTTTATATCCATTAAATAATATATCGTCAAGTAATGAATAAAATATTATACATCTTCATGTTGGAATACGTATGTTGTGTTGAAAAAGTATCTTATTGATAAAAACGTCTTCATTCATAACTTTTTAATGAATAACAAGCGAAGGAAAAGATTAATGACCTTCTTGAAAGTCAAGATGAAGGTCACTCGGAGGTCATTTGGAGCTGGTTGTGTAAAAAGGAACAATTATCCAAATAAGTTTGAAGCTTGCGATTATCGTTACATAAAGTTAAAGTTAGTTTCTTTTTCTACATATAATTTATACTTCCTCGCAATTTCTTAATTTATTCTACTTATACGAGTATTCGAATCAAAACAGCGCAAACTATTCATCTCTATACAGTTAATTGTCTATAATTTTCGCAAAAGCATAATTAAAACATATACAATATGCTAAAATTGCAAAATTATTTTATATGACAAATGACTATGACATTACAAAATAATGAGCAGGAAAAAATTTACAAATGCTATAAATTTCTCGGTCTTTAATTGATTTGTCTCATTTATTTGAAAACTAATAACTAATTCTCTTAAGACTTACTTTAGCCAAATTAATTTAACAAAGAATTTTTTTGTGCTGTTCGGGAATATTGAATAAATTACGATTTTTATTTTTGTGACCAAACAATATTTTCGATCCACGGAAGGTAATGGGACACTCTAGTATAAACACCGGGTATGTTGATCATCCCGCAACCGTCACCAAAACTGGTAATACCAATCAGTTGGAAGAGGCATTCGCTCTTAGGATGGATTATTTGTAGAGGACCACCAGAATCTCCTTGACAAGTGTCTATAATGCCGCCAGCACAAATCATACTTGGTGTGATACCGTACGGAATTTCTGTGGAATTATTATACCGTACTGTACACGACAGATTGTCTACCAGATCCACCTTAGCCTTCTGTAATCGATCGCTCATCTCTCCGTCTGAAGTACATAATTTAATTTGAATTTTGGTACTTCTATCTTATAAAAATTTTTGATTTTTTTTCATGAAGGACTTTGCATTTATTAGGAATGACCTGCTACATGTAAATTCTTAATAAATATAAAGCATTTGAATATTTAGATTTTCAAAAACATTTAGCTTTACGATTTTTTTCTTATGATTTTAGGATTTCATAGCAAGTTATGTGAGGAACTACCGAATTACTTACTATATTCGGTATGACCCCAGCCGCTCACCCAAGCCTGTGCGGGCACGGTGTCGAAAGGTTGATAAAGACACGCGGGTCGTACAGATGTGCTAAAAGTAACGGGAGTCATGAGTTGTACCAGAGCAATGTCCGCATACACCGCAGGTGGTTTGTAATCCGGATGAGTTATTATATCTTTAATGGCACTCATGATGCCTTTCTGATCTGTCAACCTATGGAAACCTATCCTTGCGTCAGTTACACCGCCGCTGCAAAGCAATACAGTGTATAAGGTAGAAATCAGACTACGCATTGATGATTCAGATAAGAGATGAAAGATTTTAACCTATAAGAACAAAGAAATTTTAGCTCCTATTGTCTTAATTGATCAAATTTCAATCTTTCAATGATTCTGGCCTTAGACCAGCTTTGTTTGATTTGTAATCAAATCTTTAAATAACCTCAAGATATCAGTCACTTAAGTAAATTATATTCTAAGTCTGCAATTTCTAATATATTTAAGTTACAAAATCAAATGCCTCAGTGATCTAAATGCTTAGGATACTCGTACGGAAGGGGTACGACGTACAGAGAAGGATTCGACGTTTGACTCGCGGCCGAGATAATATTTTTTGCAATAAATTTATTAACAGTTTTTCACTATATTAACATACTTATAATATGATACCTGATTGTAGCAACAAGATATTAAAACTGCTTGTCAATTTAATTCGCGATTAGAGTAATTTAATCGCGTTTATAGTCTGGAAAAACAATTTGGCGCGCAATTCGAAAGACTACAGTATGGTATATATGTAAGTATATATATGATATATATAGTAATTCAAGATTGAATTATTTAAGGATTTAAGCAATGAAAATCCAATTTCCATTATTATAGGCCTTTTAATTTCTAGTACTGATTGTGTTCTCATTATATGGTCTAAAATAAAGATTCTTAATATTGCTTACAAAATCAAGTAGACTTTTAAAATTTAATAATTTTGTTTCAAGTTGTATAATATGCTGAAAATACTACAGCATTAATCTGAAAAAGTACTCATATTGTCAAATTTTTAGATTTTATCTGATTCATCGTTACTTTCAATAAAATGACTGTCAGAAAAATAAAAAAGTTTTTCCATCAGAATTCTTAATATAGTTTAATGCAAAAGAAGTACTAAAATTTACCCTGCTCCATGGCTGCAATGCGCAGCGGAAATCACCCAATTATGTGAAATTAGCGTGCCACCGCACAGAAAGACAAATTCGTTGGCATTGCGTTTCCCCAGGGCGACCATGTGAGGAAACTCGTTGACTCGCGCCTCGGTACCACCAACAACCAAACGATTCGTATTCCAACAGGTATGAATCACTTTGCGCACATCTGATGAAGCGGTCAGAAACGTTATAAAAGACGTACCCGCAATTTCGCCTATATATTCCTCGCACTCTGAAATTTATTTTATGTTATTGTGATTTATGTTGATTACATAAAGATGTGTTGAAATATATTTATAATAAGGAAATAGAATCAACTAGTCGTTCAAGTGCCTGTTAAACGGATATTTATAAATACATATACTTTTAAATACATATACTTTTAGATTTATATATCTGTAAATTTTTTTCTACCTTATACAAATTCTTAAATACATAATATCAATTTACTTACTAAGTTCTGATATTGGTGTCACTGGCTTCATCTTAAGGGATAGCAAATCCTCTAATGACAGGCGTGAAACTGAAAGATAAATTTTTGGAAAAGTAGAAGTACAAGATATAAAATTATTATCAAATGCTGGCACATTACATGTATATATATGAGGTATTATTGTAAAATATGTTAATGTACGATAATGTGATATTGTTGATATAGTTGATACAGCTAGATATTTTCACAAGCATATGTCATTTTATACATATTTGTATGTATAATCTCGTTAAAATTATCTTACCTATATATATATATA